GAACTGCTACTGGTAGCAAATTACGTCAGAGGGCCGTTTTTGACCCTACACCGGCACTCCAGGTTGGTTGGAGCGGTACTGAACGGCGGAGGAACTAGTTGCTTGCAGCAGCTTGGCTGATAGGATTGTGATATGAAGAGATCTGGGGATCCATTTGAGGCAACTACCAGAGCGGTGACCGTGAGCTGAGGAAGGCTGGGTTGGAGCCCCCTCCTGCGTGCGATCAAAGGAACGCACACGTACCTTGAGGGATCCAATACGCCTCATTTCAATACTTAGCCATGTAAGTTGCATCAGTAGCAGGGCACAGGGGGGTCTTCTCGCCCTAGGGCGTGTCAGCAATTTGACCAGGCTGTAAGGGCTACTACCTTAATTTGGATGGACTAAATAGGCCCCGAGAGTCAGCAGTGTTAGCATCACCGTGTCCCGGTCCACCGTGAAGAGCGTTACAAGGTCTGGCATACAGAGACCTCGGCCTGCGTCGTTTCCATGGCAACAGCCACCGTTAAAAGATTTTTATGACCCTTTTTTTTAAAGATACAAAAAAACTGGGCCAAAAACCCAGTTACCGTGCAAAGCGTTAAGTAGCAACATCCCTTATTCACTGAGAGAAGAGTGTTTTATAAGGAAAATCCCCTTTAGACAAGGGAAACCCCCTCCCACCCCCCAAAAACCCTCCAGGCCCATAGAAAGGTCTGAACCCCCAGAGCTCTGCCAGCTCTGGAATCTGCCCTCCGCAGTGCTCAAAGCACCTGCCTGCTGCATCCACCAAAGGCCATTTTTACCCATTATTCAAGACAAAGGACTCTGGGAGTTTGAGAAACTAAATTTGACTTTATTATTCCCAAGCGGGAAATCAGAAGTCAAAGCCCCCCTCCCCACCCAATGCCCAGCCCCGCTCGGCACGGTGCATTTTAACCCCAGCCCAGCCCTGCTCCCGCAGGCACCAGCAACAGAGTGACCTCTTACAGCGGGTAGAAGAGGAGAGAGGATCCGAGAGACGCCCAGGAGCTGGTCACAAAAGCAAACTCTCTGCGAGCAGGAAACCCAGGAAGCAGCATCTCCAATCCCAGCTGAGACATTCGTTGTGTGTGGGGGGGATAGACAAGGTAGGGAAATCTTCCGTCATTCCTGCCCCAAACTCCTGGCAACACAAGTGCCCCATTTTCCCTCTGCAGGCCAGCGATTTGCACACCCCAGCCCTTAGGCTCCCTCGGGGCAAAGCAGAGATGACCCGTGACTGCATCTATAGAAATCGTTAGCTCCCAGAGTTCTGTGCTGGCCCTGGGGCACAGGTACCTCCGAGTTGTCTGCCCACCCCGCTTCATTACACTCGACTTCTGGACACCCGCAACGCGTGCAGATTCGCTGCAAAGCAACGCCCCCTCCCGTTCACTAGCTTCACCTCAGTTCAACGCTCTCCCTAGCACACGGCATCTAGTTGGGTCTATAGCGTCACCAAATAGAAGTTTATTTGCTAGAACTTTACAGTGAAGATTCAGAGAGAAGCAAGTATAAGGATGGGAAACGTATGGTTACGATAAAGGGAATATATAAAACGCCATCTCAGGACTATGCTTATTAACAAGTTTCTTTCCCATCTACTAAGGCATTTCTCACCCAACGGTCAGTCCGTACAACGCTCGTCCAGAGCTGGAATCCACTTGGAGACACTCACACTGGCAGACGATCGCCTCCAGAATGGACACCGTCTTGTGCCTTCTTTCCCTTTCACACGGTGTCAGACTGTATGTCTCTTTTGAGACCCAGGGCATTTCGTTAACTCCAGTTTGTCCCCTGTTCAAGGTCTTTTTCTTGGACGCTTTTGTGCTTTGTAAAGGCCCACACCCGCGCCTTGTCTACACTTGGCTGGGCTGGGTGGAAAGATGTCAACTGTTCTCACTCTAGGCTGAGTTGGCTCCGAGAGCCACCCCGCCCCAGGTGACCAGCTTCATCTCCAGGAGCAATATTCTACACCCTTGAAACATTTCCCGTACGTACCTCCAGCAATAACCACGACAACCGCACACAACCCCCTTTGGTGAAGTATCGCGAAGATGGCGATCGCAGAGAAACATTCCTGTCTGGGCACGTTGAGGCAAGTCCCTGGGTATAAACTTGTAACTGTCTACCCGCGTCTGTTTTCAAACTTAAGGCACTTGGGTCACAGCTCTTTGTTGCCTCTGGCCTCGGTGATGGGGCTCACCCTGGATTTTGGAAAGGACAGGCCTGTTGACTTCCCCACCTCTCTTCTCAGCTCCACTCAGCCTCCTGGGAATCAGGAGCAGGGCCGGCTCCAGGCACCAGTGCAGCAAGCAGGTGCTTGGGGCGGCCAACGGAAAGGGGCGGCACGGCCGGCTCTTCGGCGGCAAGTCCCTCAGTCCCTCTTGGAGGGAAGGACCTGCCGCCGAATTGCCGCTGAAGAAAGAAGCAGCGGCGGCAGAGCAACTGCAGAAATGCCGCCGATCGCGGTGCTTTTTTTTTTTCCCACCGCTTGGAGCAGCAAAAATGCTGGAGTTGGCCTTGATCAGGAGACACCCCCATCATTTCCTTGGAGGGTTTTAGATTCACCTTCTTGTCTCGCTGGCCCCCATGCAGCGAATGCCGTCTCAGCTGTCTGGCTCTCAAAAGCAAACCCTGCGGGATTCTGGCTGCGTCTCTCTCCCCTCCCACACTGACCTGTCCGACTGTATCTTACATCTGTGCCAGGGGTCAGACGTAACTTCCTGCCCCGTTTCAGCCTCTGCCTTTCGGACAGCGACTCTCACATTCGCCCATCAGCGTTTGTGCCGATGGCTGTTTATAGTGATCGCTGTTCAAACAACGCTAACATCTCAGGGCAAAGGCTGGGGCAAATGCCTAGGTGCTGGAACTTGGGCGGCTGGCTTGAAGTGGTTTCCATCATATACAGGGTTTATAAGCTGGTTCAATGGCTCTCAGCACCCCCGCTGTACAAAATTGTTCCAGCACCCCTGGGAAAACGGCAAAAAATAAAATAAGAAAGGGCTATACTGGCATCTGGTCAGTTGCCTCATGAAGCCCCCAGTAAATCTGCTCTACATCCTGTCATGTGACCAAATAGCCAACAGGAAAGAGAGAACAGGCCACCCTATGGTACACTTCCATGTTCCTACCAAGTGAAATCCAGGACAGTTTGCATTTGACTCAACTGCAGAACAGCTTTACCTGAGTTCTCCTGTAAACTGCCTTATGCCTGTTTCACTTTGTGCCTCGTGTTTTGTATCAAAATTTTAGCACCATCATAACGAAGGGGGAAAAGAAAGAAAGGAAAGAAACACCACCCACCGCCACCACAACAAAAAAAACCTTCCCACCTGCAAACAAAAGGAGCGTGGCTGGCAAAACCCAACAGATGGAAACTGGGACTTAGGTTCAGAATGATCATACTGTGTCCGGGATTTATTCCAATTCCCCGTCCGGGGTCTGTGACGCTTTCAGCTCCAGCCGTCCTGATTTAGGATCAAAGTAACCAAAGCGCAATTCCTAAGCACAGAGACCTGAAAACACTGCCGTCTGCCACTTTGGGAAATACAGGGGTAGGAGAAAGGGAAGATAAATTCTCCATGGCATGGACAGAAGGTCCATGAAATTAAGGGGGGGGGATGATGAAATTAATAGGCATCAGGTTTAAAACAAACAAAAGGAAGTACTTCTTCACACAGCGCACAGTCAACCTGTGGAACTCATTGCCAAGTGATGTTGTGAAGGCCAAAACTATAACTGGGTTCAAAAAAGAATTAGATAAAAAGGATAGGTCCATCAATGGCTATTAGCCAAGATGGTCAGGGATGCAACCCCACGTTCTAGGTGTCCCTAAGCCTCTGACGGCCAGGAGCTGGGACTGGATGACTGGGGATGGATCACTCCATAATTTCCCCGTTCTGTTCATTCCCTCTGAAGCATCTGGCGTCAGCCATTGTCGGAAGACAGGATACTGGGCTAGCTGGTCCATCGGTCTGACCCAGTGTGGCCATTCTTAAGGTAAAACTGGGACGAGGGGAAAGACGTGGTCATGGGGAAAGGTGAGAATCCCTCTGTCTCACCAGGTTGCCCTCAAGTAACACAAACCATTTTTCTATCCCTGCCCAAATCCATTTATAATCTATTCAGTTATGTCGTTCTGTTTTATTAAAAAACAAAGAAGCCTTTGGGACGACCCGAAGCAAGGTAAGAAGAACTGGGGATGAGGCACTGTGTCCCCGAAGCGGGAACTCGGTGACTAGCAATCACCAGGCTAAACGAGAAGCTCGGTGTGGGTTGGGTCTGGATTAGAAAACGGGGTGAAAGTTTGGCCAGGGTCAGAAGGAAATGCGCTAGCTATCCCTGTCCACGCTTCCTAATCTAAGAGAACACTCAGAGGCCGAGGGTGGTGAAGCTGAGAGGGGATTCCTAGGCCTCTAGGCTTTTCTAGGGATTTTACAAAGGGTACTAGGGAAAGCAGGCCCTGTCGATTTTTCATTGCAGAAGGAGCAGGGCCATGAACACTAGGGGAAATCATCTCCCTAACCCCATCTCTTCCACCTCCTCTTATCCCATGATCCCCAAATGCCCGATAGCCCCAGCACTCAGCTCCAATATTTAATACTCCAGTGCTATTCCCAAAACCTGTCCCCCTTGGTCTCTTAACCTTTGAGCCCCCACAGCCCAGCGCCCTGGGGGGATTCAGGGAGGGGAGGAGTTACCAGCCCCCCAGGGACACTCCCCCTGCAGGGAACAGCTCCAGGTAAGTGGGGGAGCCCAGCCCAGAGGTTGGTGGAAGATGGGGCATGGGGACAGGGGTCTAGAGTGAAGGTGGGGCCTGGCCCAAGTGTCCTTCTCCTCATCTCCATGGCAGGGGGATCCCGGCTGGGAGGGGAAGGGAGAGGGGGGAACTTCAGCCAGGCAGAGGGAGCGGCTGGAGGAGTTTCTCTCTCTCCCTTCCCCCATCTGTGGCCCATCAACTCAGCAGCCAGGGCTGCAGCAGGGAGGAGGGGCTGATCGGGGCTTCTCCTCCTCTGCCTGCGGTTTGCTTAGACCAGGCAGAGCCAGAGGGTCACTGACCAGCTACTGCTGGGTTCTCACCCCAGCGATGGGCAGCTGGATCCCTGGGAGCCAAATGCCCCGGATGTGTGTGGGAACGAGGAAACAGATTTTTTATTTTTTTACACGGTAGCCAGCCCTAGTCAGGGCACTGGTAGAATCTCTCTCCTGTTGTCCAATAACTGCTTTGTCTAGGCTACGAAGTTTTCCCGGCCTAGCTAAGAGTGTGGGGGGGGAAAAAATCACCCATCCCCAGTCATGCTGGCAAAACTCTGAGTGTAGACGCAGCTAGTGCTTCTGTGGGTTTAGCTAATCTCCTTCCGGGAGGCGTTTTAACTAGTTTGGCAGAAGATCTCTGTTGGCTTGCGCTGCTTATCCACTAGGTGACTCTGCCAGCCAAGCTATCCCGGCCAAGGCTCTGTAGGGTAGACAAGCCCGTTAACTCTGCGTGAAGTATTTTCCACGCTCAGGATGTTTAAGAGGTAACTTCCCTGTATGGATTTGCTGAGGCCTAATATAAATAAGAGCCCCGGTTGTAGCATCTCCCCCAGTCAAGGTTTCTCTCCTGCGTGGAGCTTCTTGTGCACGCTAAGGTTTGATCTCCGATTGAAGCTTTTCCCGCAATCGGGGCATTTATAGGGTTTCTCTCCTGTGTGGAGCCGCTGATGCACACTGAGGTTTGAGCGCTGACTGAAACTTTTCCCACACTCAGTGCATTTATAGGGTTTTTCTCCCGTGTGGAGCCGCTTGTGTCTGTTCAGGGTTGAGTTTTGATTGAAACTTTTCCCACAGTCCACACAGGTATAGGGCTTCTCTCCTGTGTGGGTTCGCTGATGTGAAATAAGGGATGAGCTGTCACTATAGCTTTTCCCACAGTCGGGGCATTTATAGGGTCTTTCTCCCGTGTGGAGCATCTGATGTTTCACAAGCTGCGTACTCCATCTGAATCTTTCCCCACAGTTGGGGCACTGATAGGGTGTCTCTCTCGTGTGGATTCTCTGGTGTAAGATAAGGGTTGAACTCCGCATGAAACATTTCCCACAGTCGAAGCATTTATAAGGGATCTCTCCTGTGTGGAGTCTCTGATGTGTAACAAGTTCTGAGCTCCACTTTAAGTTTTCCCCACAGTCCAAGCACGTATAATGTTTTTCTCTGGCGTGGGTTATCATGGATGTGTCTCCTGCATGGATTATTTTGTGCGTATTAAGCTGTGATCTCTGACCGAAACTTTTCCCACACTCGGTACATTTATAGGGTCTCTCTCCCGTGTGGATTATTGTGTGTGTATTCAGGTGCGATCTCTTACTGAAGCTTTTCCCACACTCGGTACATTTATAGGGTCTCTCTCCCGTGTGGATTCTCTGATGAGAAATGAGGTTTACTCTCTGAATGAAGCTTTTCCCACACTCGGTACATTTAAAGGGTCTCTCTCCCGTGTGGATTCTCTGATGGGCAATGAGGTTTGAACTACGACTGAAGCTTTTCCAACATTCAGTGCACGTGTACTTTCTCTCTTCTGTCTGGATTTTCTGTTGGGCTGTGGTTTCCTTGGGATTACTGCATCCTCTCCTACAATTAATGGCTTTACCCACTTCTTTCCCTTTGTGCCTCTCTGACTTGTGCTGATTGCCCCAGACTTTTCCCTGTTCAGCGCTCTGGGAAAAATTCTCTTTGGATCTTCCTGATAACATCCTATGCAGTTCCTGTTGCTCAGGACTTTCCTGCTGTGGAGTCTCTTCCTTGATCTCACGCACTGTAGTTTCACCTGCTGAAATAGAGAATCCAGACAGGAGTCATTCTCGGTGCTGGGGGGAAAGGAAATAAAGGGGAACAGCAAAGGGGAAACATGACACAAGAACAAGGGGGGGAGGGATAGCTCTGTGGTTTGAGCATTGGCCTGCTAAACCCAGGGTTGTGAGCTCAATCCTTGAGGGGGGCCATTTAGGGATCTGGGGCAAAAATCTGTCTGGGGATTGGTCCTGCTTTGAGCAGGGGCTTGGACTAGATGACCTCCTGAGGTCCCTTCCAACCCTGATATTTAAATAAAAAAAAAAAAAAAACCATTG